TAGAGTCTCCTGTGTCCCCTCCATAGTGCCTCCTGTGTCCCCTTCATATCACACACATACAGGTAGTACTGCCTACCTGTCAGTGTGTGTAGAGCAGAGTGGAGATCAGAGGAAAACACAATGCTAGGTGGATGGCAGGAGCAGGAGCTGCCGGAGTTCATAATACCAAGCTGGTGATTGGTTGCTAGGACAGCCTAGCAACCAATCAATCGCTGAGCATCTTCCTCCCCTGTCCCTGCTCTCCATCCAGGACTCTTCTGCCTCCTGCTCTCCTCTCTGCCTATAACATGAGAGCGGTGTAAATTAACAGAAATCCTCCTGCGCTCCACAGAACCTAGTGACCAAAGAGTTAGCTGCTACCACCTACTCTCTATACCGCAAGATATGTGTAAACAAAATAATATAAATGGTGAAGCGCTCAACTAAAAATATATAAGAATAATCTCATACCCAAATCAATGTGCAAACTGAATAATCAAATATACATGAAATAACTAGTGCAATATCCCCATATATGGATTATACGTCCCTGGTGATATAGTGATAAACAACTAATACTTTTTAAACTGTGCAAAGTGATATAAACAAAAATAATTAATATAAATACAAAAATCAATTGTGATGCCACACTGTGCAAAATCATAAAAGTGTTCAAATGACATCACTCCATGCTGCAATGTGCTCTTCGTGAAAAAATCTTGACGTGACTCCCCTCAATGATAGCCAAAATGCCCCCTCACCTTCCACCTTCGACCCTTGCGGGTCACAAAGCTTTATATATATATATATATATATATATAATATATCTCTGTCAGATGTTTCTCCTCCACTGCCTCCACCGACCCAATCAAGATCCTCCTCCAGACACTGGGTTCCACTCAAATATCTCCCCCTCACAATACGGACTCAGACACAGGGCGCATATGTAAGAAAAAACAGACCTCCATAGTGCAACATTGTTTTAATGCACTCAGAGATGTGTATAGAAATGTACTCACATATCCACTAACAGAAACAAGCAGTTCCCCATGTGCTATGGGTATATTCAGGTGTCCAAAGATGGCGTCCGAACCCGGAACCGGAAGTACGTCACCCCTATGACCGGAAAATACGTCGACGCGTTGCGCCACGATCACGTGGCTTCTTCAGGATCCTGAAGAAGCCACGTGATCGTGGCGCAACGCGTCGACGTATTTCCGGTCATAGGGGTGACGTACTTCCGGTTCCGGGTTCGGACGCCATCTTTGGACACCTGAATATACCCATAGCACATGGGGAACTGCTTGTTTCTGTTAGTGGATATGTGAGTACATTTCTATACACATCTCTGAGTGCATTAAAACAATGTTGCACTATGGAGGTCTGTTTTTTTCTTACATATGCCCCCTGTGTCTGAGTCCGTATTGTGAGGGGGAGATATTTGAGTGGAACCCAGTGTCTGGAGGAGGATCTTGATTGGGTCGGTGGAGGCAGTGGAGGAGAAACATCTGACAGAGATATATTATATATATATATATATATATATAAAGCTTTGTGACCCGCAAGGGTCGAAGGTGGAAGGTGAGGGGGCATTTTGGCTATCATTGAGGGGAGTCACGTCAAGATTTTTTTCACGAAGAGCACATTGCAGCATGGAGTGATGTCATTTGAACACTTTTATGATTTTGCACAGTGTGGCATCACAATTGATTTTTGTATTTATATTAATTATTTTTGTTTATATCACTTTGCACAGTTTAAAAAGTATTAGTTGTTTATCACTATATCACCAGGGACGTATAATCCATATATGGGGATATTGCACTAGTTATTTCATGTATATTTGATTATTCAGTTTGCACATTGATTTGGGTATGAGATTATTCTTATATATTTTTAGTTGAGCGCTTCACCATTTATATTATTATGAGAGCGGTGTAGGCTGAGGGGAGGCTGAACCGCGGTCACAATCAACCTGACGGCTCCCCACAGTGGACGGCTTGCCAACTCCTGCTGTAAATGGATGTTGTTTATTCACTTCCCCTTTTACACAAGAAATATTTATTTTTTTTTGTTACTTTTATCTCGTTTCTTCAAGAACTAAAAAAATGGACATGTAGAAAATGGATGCAAAAACAGATTTAAACTGAAGACAGATATGTAAACAGATGTAACCTCAAACAGTATTCATAAGTTAAATAAAACCAAAAAGCAGTCCTAAATAGTGTACATAATTAAAGTGTTTCTAAACCCCGGAGCCTGCATTCACTATATCTGGTCTCCCACAGTACACAGAACATGGAAATGCAATTATTTTAGTAAATATAAATCTAAATACCTTTTCTCATTGACAGTATATAGCAGTCTTTTGATTTCTATCAGTGTCCAGCAGAGCACTGGTTAAAGCTTGTAGGAGGAGTTTTTCATTCTCCCCTGACTGTCCTATGAGGCTGCAGGACCCCTGACTTTCTGTCTGGATAGCACTGATTGGCCCTGTGCTGATTACGTGCACTGTCCCAAGCAAAAAAAGAAAACTCTAGCAATATACACCAAACTGAACATGTGCAGCTTGGCCCCAGGGCTCTGTTCTATCAGCAGATTGGGAACTGTAGTAGAAGGGGAGGATCAGAGAATACCGGATCAAACATCCTTTTTACACAATGCAGAGAACTGTTCCACAGTGAGTATAACAAGTATACTTTACTGCATATACAGACTGATTTTACTGTTGTGGGTTTAGGAACACTTTAACATCCTATATGTGAATATATACCGTATACACCAAAGAATTTAATCCATATAATAGTGAAAAATAAAGCCCCAAAGTGAACAAAATTTAAGAAAAAATCCTTTCACAATCCAAATTTTATGAAGAGTGTCCCCACACTTCAAATTCCTGTTGGACAAACTGCTTATCTACTACCAAGTAACACCATTAGGGAGCCTCTTACCAGATAGTGTGGAACATTAGGCTATAATGGTCATAAGCACTTGGTTATATCCTATAGCCAACGATTCTCCAGGCATATAGACCGTCCACCATCAGGATCTCTCCTCCATTATTGGGGTTTAACCAAAAAAAGAGAAACGGTGCATGCCTATAGTGTAGTATGTAGAAAAAAAAACAAATTTATTTAAAAATGCCACAACAAAATCACCAATGGCAATATACAATAAAACATATGCATGGGCAGCAAATAAATTAAAAACCGCATACAATAGATAAATTGCAGTAGCTTCCAAAGCAGCAGGCTGGGTTACCGTCCCAGGCTCCAGGCTAGCATGCATGATGACATGATCACATGTGGCTACACTTGATATTTTATGTGATTTAGCACTGCTTTTTGTTTTTTAATTATATTTTAGCTATTGGTATCACAATTGCTTAGTGGCTTCTTCTTTTTTTGTTTTTTAATAAAAGTAGTAATTATCAATTGTTTCTTTTTGTAATAAATGTGACTGAACTGATGACACCCATGTGAAATGGCCCCTAAAGAGGTTGCCCACAGGGCTTCAGTAGGTTTAGAAATTACTTTGTTTAAATTGATAGTCAGTACTTTCACTAAGATCTATGTTGAGCATCCCAAAACTGCAGCTAAAGGTTGCTTTAAAGCAGTTGTAAACCCAGTTGTTTACAGGTTTCTACTTACCTGCTCTGTGCAGTGGTGCACAGAGTGGCCCTGAACCTCCTCTTCTCGGGTTCCCTACCGGGACTCCCCTGTTTTCTCTCTTCTTTGAGTGCCCCCATTGCAAGCTGCTTTGAAATTCCCGCTGTTCTGCCTCTTCTCTGTCTGTGCTTCCAGGATTGAGCAGATAAATTCTGATTGATCAGCGCCGTCACATTAATCAGAACACTGGACTGGCTGCGGGAGCCCTGACAGCTCAGGATCGCTGGAGGTAAGTACAGCTGGGACCCAGGGGGTTGGGGAGGGTGTCCAATGTTAGTTCACCTTTTGCATTTTTTTTTCCTGTAAAGGTGAACTAACCTGTTAAAGATTTTAACAAAGCTGAATTAATCTTTGTAAATTCTTGCTGTACCTGTTGTTGCTTTCATATAGGCTCATGCTCTTCCTTTAAAATGTAAGTTCGCTTTTCAGAAGAAATTAAAAGGTGGGCGAATGTCCTTCACCCTATACCCACCTCCCCCCTCTCTAGTCCCCACTACCCACTGTACTTAGCTCTGTGGATGATTAGCTGTCAGTGCCCTTGCAGTTTGGGGGATTTAAAATCTCTTCCACTTCTTTTTTTTTTATGTGGGGTTCCAGGGCTGATCAGAGTGATTCTGATTGGGCAGCACCAGCACAGAGCACTGTTCTGATCTGTCCCAGAAGCCTTTGCAGAAAGGAGGAGAAGAGCAGGGATCCAAATCCACGGACTGCTATGCCAGCTGTGTAGGGCAATGACAGTTCCTCACCCACAGAGTTGTGTACACTGGGACCAGGGAAGTGAGTAGGGTTTAGTGTTCGATCACCGGATCATTTTTTCTGAAAAGGTGAACTAATCCATATACGTTTTTATTTAAAGCTATTTTTTCTTCGTTTTGAGTAGAGTGTGAATGTGTAATACCCATCAAGTTTTTTATTGCTGTCTGTGTCCCCGATTCATTCTCACTTTCTGTGGTTGATTGTTATACTGTTGTTCCTGGACCAAGAGTAGAAGGTAAAGCTCCTAATAGAGATAACTGTTTTGGTTACTACTGTCAAAAGGTGCATTCCCCTCACTTCGGGAAGAATATTTCTTAATTCCTGTTGTGTCTTTAGGACAGGAAATGAGAGGACACAGCTGAGATTTACACTCTCCATTTGTCTTGGTGGCATTTGTCATGTTATTCATAGCAACTATATTTCACCTTTCATCAGATTAGCAGTGCCAGAATAAAAAATAATCACTGACTGGTTTCTTTTGATCGCTGCAGTGTTTTCAAGGCTCTTTGCCTTATTATATAGGTGCCAAATATTAGCACAGATTTGTCAACAATTATTATGTTTTGTTTTTTTTTTTTTTTTTTTGCATTTTGTTAGTTTGGATTTCGATGGAGAGTGGAAAAAGAAGTCATCTCTGGAAAAGGTATTAGTACTGTTCTTGTTTTTTTAGATTTATGACTGCAGGGGTACATTTTTCACCCAGCTTCCTTGGTTACAGAGGATGTTCTTTTGTATCTTTTTGTTCACCAAAAACTAAGGAGAAATAAAGTTGATATTTTTTTATATAATTCTGAAAAGAGTATTCTTATATTGACAAGGTTTTGTTTTATAGCAGATATTCTTATACATGATCCTTTTATCTAAGCTTCAAATATATTCCCTACTAAAGGCATTAAATTTACAGACCTATAGTTACCGAGTAAAAACTTTGATACCTTTTAAAATATAGGTACCACATTGGCCTTTAATCCCACTGGTACCAAGCTAGTTGTCGGGGAGTAGCTAAAAATAATGCTGATAATAAATGTTTGCATCTGGTTCATATTGTTACTAAAGGCTTGACTTTATCGCTAAGCCCTGTCAACTGACATCCCCTGTCTCAGTGACCAACAAGACCACAATTTTTGAACACAGGAATATCTGGTGGCTATTGCCTCTGAAAGCAAAACTTTTAAATGTAACATTTTTTCATTTTCTGGCATTCATTGTTCTCTATATAATTCTATATGTTATATTGATTATGAGCAGTAGAGGGAGCTGCTAGTATAGAACATATTGCTTTCAAATGAACTTATACACTAGTTACATCCTAGGGTGACATGCTGGATTTAAGAAAAGTGTGCGTCTCACAGTTTTGCTTTAGAAGAGCTCATTCAGACATGCGTCAGGCCTTGCTGTCCCTCTTCTGTGACCCCTTAATATGAGTGTGTCATGTTTGGTGGTGGTACTGCCAACCAAATACAACAGGGGGGATACATTTTTGCTGTGAAGCAAATTGTTGTGGTCATGGCATGTGTACAGTTCTGAGTGACTGCATGTCCTTGCTCAGGTGGGCATTCGGGGTGGGTGGGGGGAGTAAAATCTTGGCTCAATCACTTTCTTTCACTGCTACCTGGCCACACATTTCAACGAGCCCTTAGTGTTTCACCTGTTATGTGTCCTTTAGTGTTTTACTATTCTTCTGTGTAAACTTGCCCAGTAGAGCTTTGAAAATATGGGAAGTGATTTATGACACATAATACTCCCTGGCATTAGGAAACACAAGCGCCCTGATTGGGAAAAGAGGTAGTGTCTTTCTAAAACTGAACTCTGTAAATCTGTTAAAAAAAAAAAAAACCTGCCTTGCAGACAGGCCCCCCTTTCCCCTTTGCGCTAGAAAAGTAATTGATTATTTTGTCCATGGTGATTGGAATAAGCACAATACACTACCTATGTGAATGGACCGTCAATGTTCCCATGTACAATGCAGGATCACTAGTCCTCCACTGTATGGGATGACATCAGATAGTGTGCAATTGGACAGGGCTTATGAATAGAAGCGGCTTTGGGTCCCATTGTACAGTGAGGAGAGAGCCTGAAGGTTCACGGAATAAAGCCAGCCATAGATTATTCCACCTATGATGGAAGGAAAGAAAAATGCTTGATTCCATCATCAACACAGTCAGTGATGGGGGAATCCCTCCCGCAACACTATTGTGTACTACCGGCGTGGAGCCTTCCCTGCTGGCAGAAAAAACAATAAATAGTTTTGCAGGCTTAGCTGGCAGTGGCTAATCTTTTGGCATAAAAACCCACAACAGTAAAATCAGTCTGTATATGCAGTAAATCATGCTTGTTATACTCACTGTGGAACCTAAGGGGTTAATCCTCTGGATTGTGTAAAAAGGCTGTTTGATCTTTTTTTTCTCTGCCCCTCCCCTTGTTGAAATGCCCACGCTGATAAGACAGACTGAACCGTGCCCTTCTGCACATGCTCAGTTTAGTGTGTATTGCTAGAAAGGTTTTTTTTTTTCTTGGGGAGTGCATGTGATCAGCACAGGACCAATAAGCATTGTCCAGACAGAGGATTTCCATCCTCCTAGAGAAAACTACTCCTATAAGCTTTAACCAGTGCTCAACTGAAGTCACAAGACTGCTCTAACTGCTGATGAGAAAAGGTATTTAGCAGTTTATATTTACTAAAATAATTGCACTTCCATGTTCTGTGTACTGTTGGAGACCTGATATAGTGAATACAGGGTCCTGGGTTTAGTAACACTTTAGGGTACGTGTTTCTTCCTATTCTAAATCCCATAGACAAAATACATATTTAAAGCGGAGCTCCACGCAAAAGTGGAAGCCCCGCTTATTTGCCTCCTCCTCCCTCCATTGCCATATTTGGCACCTTTTGGGGGGGAGGGGGAAGTGGGTACCTGGTTTTGACAGGTACCCGCTCCCACTTCCACCTCAGTTCTCCACAGCAAAGTGAGCTGAAAGTTTGGCCCCCTCCTCCCTCCCGTAGTCTCCTGGGAACTTTCACAGGTCCCAGGAGACTGCCGGATCAATCAAGATGCTCAGTGGGCATCAGGCTGTGAAGCCACAAGCTGGCACAGCCTGGTGCCTACAGTTGAGATGCCGGTGCCGTGGAGGAAAGAAGGGGAGAAGGGACGGTGTGAGTGAGAACATCGCTGGACTCTGGGACAGGTAAGTGTGTGTTTATTAAAAGTCAGCAGTTACAGTTTTTGTAGCTGCTGACTTTTAATAAACACAAAAAACTTCTGGAACTCAGCTTCAACCCCTGCAAGATGAACTTTTACAGATTTCATGAGTCCAGCTTTAATCTAAACTTGTCATAACTGTGGACAAGTCAATCTAATCAAATGATGTAGAAATACGTAAGTAGGCATTAAATTTAGTGAAAATCTTGACACAAGATTAGTAGATCCAGAGATGTAGGCAGCTGAATTCGTATGCAGATCTAAACTTATCTTGACCTAGATCCTGTTGATATTTGTATATAAATTCCCTGGGCAATTTTGTATTGTATGTGTCACTACTGGCTAGGTTCATACAATTTGTCCTGGTGACCCTTGTCACAGAAACAGAAAGTTATGAGAAATCCAAAATGTTACAGTTGTCACCAGAGTAAGAGATGCAGGCAAATCATCCAATGGGAACACCTTTTCTGGTGAAAACTATCATAGAGGAAAATTCCTTTTCATTTTATAGAGATTTCCTTTCACTTCCTGTCATATCTCCAGGACGTAAGGTTATAAGAAATCTCTTCAGTAAAACACAGATAATGAAAATGATCTGACAGGAGATTTAACCCTTCTCTACTCTATGCAGAACTGAAAAAATGTTAGTCCAGTGTTAATGGTAGTCCCAGAGGAGGGCTCTTTGCCTGTAGCACACACAGTAATGGCCAAAAAAATTGGCACCCCTGCATTTCTCTGTCAGATAATGCACCACTTCGGCCAGAAAATTGTTGCAATTAGAAATGTTTAGGCATTCTCAATGTTTATTTCTTTTGTTTGTATTGGTATGACACAAAAAAGTGGAGAAACAAAAATCCAAATCTGACACATTCCAAACAAACCCCCCAAAATGGAGTGGACAAAATTATTGACACCCTCAATTTAATATTTGGTAGCACAGCCCTTAGAAAAAAATATTTGAAATCAATCGCTTCCTGTAACCATCAATGAGTTTCTTACACCTCTCTACTGGAATTTTGGACCACTCTTCTTTTGTCAAATGCTTCAGGTCTGTCAGATTGGAAGGGTTCCTTTTCCCAACTGCTGTTTTTAGATCTCTCCACAGGTGCTCTATGGGATTGAGATCTGGACTTATTGCTGGCCAGTTCAGTACTCTCCAGAGTTTTGTCTTAAACCATTTCTGGGTCCTTTTTTTTTTACATGTGCTTTGGGTCATTGCCCTGCTGTAAGACTCATGACCTCTGACGGAGACCTAATTTTCTGACATTGGGCCCTACAATGTACCCCAGAATTCTTTGGTAGTCTTCAGATTTCATAATTCCATACACATGGTCAAGACATCCAGTGCCTAAAGCAGCAAAGCAACCCCAAACCATCAGTGAACCTCCACCATGTCTGACTGTAGGGACTGTATTTTTTTTCTTTAAAGGCCTCATTTTTTTTTCTGAAAACAGTAGAATGATGAGCTTTACCAAAAAGCTGTAATTTTGTTTCATCTGTCCGCAGCATATTCTCCACAAAGAATTTTGGGTTTCTCAGGTAAATTTTGGCAAAGTCTAATCTGGCTTTTTTTATATTTCTGTCAGCTGTGGGGTCCTCCTGGGTCTCCTACTATAGCGCCCCTTTACATTCAGCAGTGTATAGTGCGAGCTGACAGTTGTACCTTGTGCCTGAAGGTCAACTTGAATTTGTCTGGAAGTTGATCGAGGTTCTTTATCCACCATTCGAACATTCCTTTGTTGCAATCTTTGATCAGTTTTTCTCTTTTGTTCACATCCAGGAAGATTAGCTACAGTGCAATGGGCTGTAAACCTCTTGACAATGTTGTGCACAGCGGACACAGGAACATTAAGATCTCTGAAGATGGACTTGTAACCTTGAGATTGTCCATGCTTTTCCACAATTTTTGTTCTCAAATCCTCAGACAATTCTTTGCTGTTTTTTCTCTTCTCCATGCTCCATGTGGCACAAAGACATGCACGACAGAAAGATTGAATCAATTTTTCTCCTTTTTAGCTGGTTGCCGGTGTGATTTCTGTTTTGTCAGCACTTGTTCATTGATACAGGTGAGTTTAATTAAAATTAAAGGAGCATCACAAACTTGGAATGCAATTATTTGGTACAATTTTGCAAAGGTGCCAATAATTTTGTTCAGTCCGTTTTTGAGGGTTTGCGTGGAATGTGTCAGATTTGGCTTTTTGTTTCTCCACTTTTTTGTGTCATACCAATACAAACAAAAAGAAATAAACATGAGAATGCCCAAACATTTGTAAATGCAACAGTTTTCTAGGCAAAGTGGTGCATTATTTGACAGAAATGCAGGGGTGCCAATATCTTTGGCCATTACTGTAACTAGGGTGACACAGCCCAGTAGGGTTGCTTATAGGAAGCATGGCTTTTTTTTTTTTTTTTTTTTTAAGCAAAGCATGGTGGAAGGGTTGTTCTA